AAGCAGATATTCCGGGAGTGTCATTAAAGTCTAAATATGAAGTCCATTCCTTTTTAAAATATTTAATAAAGTCTTCATCTTTAAGCAGTGATGTATTAAATCTCCAGTTTTTACTTGGCGTAGTATTATTCTTGTGCATTAGTGTTAAAGATACATCTCTCTCATCTAAAATCACTAATATTCTCTGAGTAGAGAATCTTCTCACAATCTTGAGCGATAAGGATCCTTGTGGTTAAAGTTATTTATTTGGTGTGTGTGTGTGTGTGTGTGTGTGTGTGTGTCCGATTTGCATCTGGGATAAAGTGTGAAAAATTTGCGGCTGCCAAAATTACATCGAGGCTAGAAGAAAAACTTGCACTTAGTTGCTTGTTTCATCATCCTTGACAACTCATTCACCAGGGGTCAGAAAATGCAGCAGAACAGCACAAAGTATGTCTTACTGGATAGCTGCAATAGCCACAATGTTACCTGTCTTTGGTATTTCCTTATAGCATGAGCGTAATATTTACTGAACAGAGTCATCGTCTGTAATCTTTGCCTGCTAAGTTTGTGCTGACCACTGCCATATTTCAGTATCAGGCTCTAAAATGTAAAAATGAATCTGAGAAGATTAAACATCCAATCATGACTCAGAAATTATGTTTCTACTAGATTTGCAGTTTGTTTTTATTTCTTCTGAATTAGAAGGTGAAGGAGGTGGAGTTTACAAGGAGTAAGTGCTAATATAGAAGGACAGGTGTGTTAATGAAGCTATTTAATTAACCATTAATGGTATTGCATGCTGATATTTCAAACATTTGTTTCATTTGAGTGATTTAATTAATTTATTTGTTTCTTTGTTTGATTTTTCAGACTGAGTCACTGTAACCTCTCAGAGAGAAGCTATGATGCTCTGTCTTCAGTTCTCAACTCCCAGTCATCTTGTCTGAAAGAGCTGGACCTGAGTAACAATGACATACAGGATTCAGGAGTGAAGCTTTTGTCTGTTGCACTGCAGAATCCACATTGTACACTAGAAACTCTCAGGTCAGGATCCAAAAGTCCTCACTGCTGATCATTTAAAGTCTGAATCACATTATTCTATAAACAACGGAACATTTTAGAATTGGCAAGTGAAATTTTACTTACCTTTGGATAGCTTAGTAGCTTTTTAACTACTGTTTGAAGATTTTTTACAGTCACATGTGTTGTTTAATTGGTAAAAGAGAAGTATTTTTTGGTTCATGTTTTCTGTGGCATGTTTTGTTTGACACACCGATGAGCAGGCCATTTGCTCTACAGCAGTCAATGTAGCCAACAAGATGCCTGCTCCTTTCAGTTGTTCTGCTCACTGTATCGCTAATTCCCAATTTATCCAGACAGCAATGATGTAGGTCCTGATGGTGCTGTTGATAGTGAGGACACCCAGGTGGTCAGAGATGGGTTGGAAGGCCAGAATAATATTCAAAGCCCGAGTATGCATGAAAGAGCTAACTTCTCATTTCTCACTTTCCAGAGTAGAAAAGAGTCAGTGTCCCATCAATGGCAAGTATGTTAGAAATCAACATACTTGCCATAGTGCCAGGTCCACAAATACACAAATACATCAAATACATCATTCAGATTTTGCTACAATCCAAATATTCAATTTGATGAGTTTGTGAGCACGTTGAGCTCTTTTTCCACATTGACTGGTTTGGATATTTATTGTGGCAACATTTTTTTGCTGCAACTTCTGCAAGTTTCAGTCTATGGCCAGTAATTCTCGTCATACCGACACTGCTGACACAGTGGCTCCTCCCGATGTGCAAGATTGATCAGATGACTTAGATGCAATATCCATGTCATTTCTTGCCTAGTTTCTCCAGTTTACTGGTTCTGGTCACCTAAGTGGGGTGGACCCCTCCCTTGTTTCATGCATGCATGGGATGAAAACCGTTTCCAAATTAAATGGTATGGTGTCTACTGGGCATCAATTAAAATGCATATTCTATACTTTTTAATAATCTCCATATCCATATTCCAGGAAACATGATTGAAATTTCTTTCTTCCACCTGTGTAGAGAGATATTGGTTCATAGCTTGTTTGTTTGGTGGCTTGTTTTGTTTTTCATTTATATTAAATTATCTGTAATTTTAGAGCACATATTTTTAAAGTTTGATTTTTTAAAGTTACATTGTAATCGGATCCTGTGAGAATATGTCTTCATGTCTGCAGGACCTCCATAAATCAAAGCTTCAGTTTCATGTTTGGATTCATTTATAGAGAGCTGTTTATTCATATATCCGACTTTGATTTATGCTATTTTCTTGTTCACATTTATCAGAAGGTCAGATTTAGAATTTCCAGCTGAAAAACAAAACAAAACAAAAATAAATTGGGCAACTATTGTTGTGTTTCAAGGGGAGTATTTAGGTATTAAGTATTTAATATGCCCCAGAAGTTGTTAAAATACAACATTGCTCATGAAAAAAATATATATATCAAGACATCAATTAATAGAACAATATAAAGAGTGCTTAATAAATCCAAAATGTAAATATAATAAGGAAACATTTTCTGTATCTGTCCTTGCAGTGAAAGTGAAAGTGAAACAGATAAAGGGCTCTCCTGTCTGCCAAGATACTGATCCAGGTTATTCATTTATCATCCATAGTCAGTCACCATGGTGTAAACTAGTCTGTAAGTGACTATGGCTAACGAGTAAATAGAGTTAAAAAAAATTAAAACTAATGCATGTGATCACTCTTATTTTATTTTCCTGTTTGCTTTCAGACCGCAACACACACAAATATTGACACAACACTCACAAGCATCGACAGAGGCCTGCAACAATTTATTGCAACAATGGTTGTTTGGGTTTAGTGCAAATAAGCTGCATCAAATTATTGCATCCATTGTTGTGTCCTTGGGCTAGACACTTTACCCTACCGCTGGTGTTGGCCAGAGGGGCCGACGACACGATATGGCAGCCTCCACCAGTGTGTGAATGTGAGAGTGAATGAATAATGGAATTGTAAAGCGCTTTGGGTGCCTTGAAAAGCGCTATATAAATCCAATCCATTATCCATTATCATTATCATTCTAATGTCCGTTCGTCACCAGGTCTGTCAATTTCCCATTGAAGAGCCATGTGGTTCTCCAAGATCTTTTCCATATTGCGTTCAATAAGCACCGTCTGAGTGCTCACAGCTCTCCTCATCACTTTGATCATACTGGCTAGCCTTGTAGGGTTTTGAATGGCCGTGACCACTTTCTTTAATCTTTGAAAAGCCAGCTCTGATCAGCAAGAACCGTGTTATCATGGTTCTGAATAGGTGTAAATCTTCTATGTCCTTAATCAACAGTCCCGCTAGACACATGACGCACCACTGGTGCATCCCATCCATCGTGTATCCAGCAGGAAACATCCCTCCAGGAATATTGGGTTCTCCCAAACACAGGCTTCTTGTTGAGAAAAGGGTGTCAATTGCATTGAGGGACCAGTTGATGAAATCCATTTTCTTTAGGTTTTAGAGGACAAGACTGAGAGACTCTCTGAAGGTTAAAGTTAAATTGATGGGAAAACAAAAACCGTGGGAATTGTCTTTTATAAATAAAGCTAAATTAAATTGAATGGATAGAAATGTATAATAGATGATATTGTATCTGAGAAACAGAAAATCATTGCTCAAAGATGGATTGTTGTTTTCTGTGTCTGCAGTCTGTCAGGCTGTCTGATCACAGAGGAAGGCTGTACTTACCTGGCTTCAGCTCTGAGCTCAAACCCCTCCCATCTGAGAGAGCTGGACCTCAGCTACAATCATCCAGGAGACTCAGGACTGAAGCTGCTGTTGGCTGGACTGAAGGATCCATGCTGGAGACTGGACACTCTGATGTATGGCGAGAATGTTTGATAGAGAAGGAAGTTCTGAAGCCTCTGCAGCTCTATCAATTAACCAGAAACAAGTGACATATATCTCAGTATATTTAACAGTGCGAGATATTTTTCTTCCTTTGATACTCATTAGGATTAGATTATTCTCTGAATAGACAGGCCAAGGACATACTGTATTTATGCTAGATTAAAATAAAGACTGGAACCAGGGGTAAACTGTTAGCCTAGCTTCATCAAAAGTAATAAAAATCTTTATTTTACAATGAATGCCATGGTAGAAGCTGTCAACTACAGGGAGATGTTTTCTGTACAGTTAAAGAAATGTGTTTTTGGTTGGTGAGAGACAAGCTGATTGGACAGTGTGTACGTGTCAGGATTGGTGGCTTTTTGAATTGCTAGTGGATGATATTGCTGCTGTTGGTTATTCTCAAATTAAGGATTTAGATTAAGGATTATAGACTTCAGACGAAGGAACGGTGGTAGTCGTACTGACTGATAGCTTGTATAGGTCCGGACCAGTACCCTGCCTGTTTCTGGAAGGTTCTCACAAACAAACCAGTCAGTGTTTGTGACTAGCTGGAACTAGATGTTAAAAGTTTATTTTGTGACCCAGAAAGATTAATAAGAGTAATTTTAAAACTTAGTAGCGGCTGCCATTGCCGGAAACTGGAGTTTGGCTGGACCGGGCTATGAATTCTGGGATATGGTGGGCCACGAAGGACACACCCGACCCATCCTTCAAATTCGGGGAAAAGGAGGACGCATTTGTCGGCTGCATTCGGAGGAGTCTACGAATTTGGACAGCCTTCGGCGTCACTGTGACGTAATTGGTCTACAAATGTATCCTCAGGAGGATGCAGCCCATGAATTTGGACACGACTATAGTCTGTCACAGACAGAGAGAAGAGATTTAAACTAATCAGATGTATAATATTCAAATGACTCAGCTCCTTAATTGCCTTTGGCTGCACCTGTGTCAGATGAGCTGTTGAGTTACTAAGGTTACATGAGCTCGATTTGGGATTGGCACATGGTTCATGCAGACCTCAGATAATTACTGAAGTGCTGCTTGGAATATGTGAACATAAGGAGAAAGAGCTGTGTTTTTGTGTCGATACTAGTCAACAAATGTATTGATCTACAATAGTTTTTATACCAAAGTGAAGTGTATGTAGTTAAATCACTCAGAAGTCAGAGGGCATGTACAATAACCACTTATAACCATTTCTAAGAGGAGAAAAATAACTGGCAGCAAAGGCAGGGAGGTGTCCTTTCCAGCTAAACAGAAGAGGAATATAAAGATAATGAAGGTCACAGTTAGAATCTGTCATATTTCATTAAATACAGTGGTGTACTGACAGATCCAGGATCAGTCCAAATCATCAACAGTTTGATCCACGTATGGATTAAAATGTATTTGTGAAAATGTTGGACTGTTCCTTTATCAGTGTCTAACAGTATGTGTATGAGAGCAATGTAATGTCCATGTGTGCATGCTGAAAGAGACTGTGCTGGTCTGACGCCCCTCCTACTTTCAGGGTGGAGCCTGCTGGAGTCCAATGGTTGACACCAGGTCTGAAGAAGTGTAAGTGTGTTTTTAATGTGACATGTGAAAATAAAGCAGCACACATTCAACCTCTTCAAACTGTCACATCACTCATTCACATCTCTGATAACTGCAGCTGGATTGTGTTTGTTCTCTCCATCAGATTCCTGTCAACTCACAATCGACACAAACACAGTACACACAAACCTCAAACTGTCTGATAACAACAGTAAGGTGACACATGTGGAGGAAGTTCAATCATATCCTGATCATCCAGACAGATTTGATGGTTATCCTCAGCTGCTGTGTAGAAATGGCCTGACTGGTCGCTGTTACTGGGAGGTCGAGTGGAGCAAAAATATTTCTATATCAGTGAGCTACAGAAGAATCGGAAGGAAAGGATACAGTGATGAGTGTAGGTTTGGATTTAATGATCAGTCCTGGAGTCTGCTCTGCTTTGATGATGGTCCTAACTATGTCAGGCACAATAAGAGACAAACATTCATCTCCTCATCCTCATCCTCCTACTCCTCTGTCTCTAACAGAGTAGCAGTGTATGTGGACTGGCCTGCTGGCACTCTGTCCTTTTACATAGTCTCCTCTGACACTCTGATCCACCTCTTAACCTTCAAAACTACATTCACTGAAACTCTTTATCCTGGATTTTGGGTTGGTCCTGCTTCTTCAGTGTGTCTGTGCTGAGTTGAGTATAAAGAGTGTCCTCATGTTAAAGAAATACTCTGACTATTGAAAAGATAGTTAAGTCTGTACATGTCTGTCTCTTTCACTCAGAAACATGTTTTCAGATTCATGGATTCAATCAGTTGATGTTTTAAACTGTTCTAAATGATTACTTGTAAATTTCTTCCTCATCAGTCCTTTAAAGATGTAAGCTACGATTATTCAAGGATCCACATTTTGCTTCACATTTTCAAGCTTCACAATGAATATTAGTACGTTGTGTCACTTTATTATTATCAAACAATAATAATAATAATAATAATAATTATATATATACATATAAAAAACACCCAGCACGCCCCTGCGGGCGGTTTATCCTTCAAGCTCGGGTCCTCTACCAGAGGCCTGGGAGCTTGAGGGTCCTGCGCAGTATCTTAGCTGTTCCCAGGACTGCGCTCTTCTGGACAGAGATCTCCGATG